CGCGGCACTCACCCAAAAAGGAAGGACCAAGGGCTTTTCCTTCGGAATTCCTAGACAGATCCAGCCAACACACACGCGTATTACGAAGTGAGAAATTAATGATTTTCTTCTGTAAACAAGTTTGTATCGATGGTGCCAAAATCATGTCAGCGTTTGAAACTAACTCAATCTATTTATGGTTTGTGTTAACAAATTTATGTCATATATGGGTCTCTGTCGAATAGTGGTTATCTCCAGCCCATGAACTTGAAGTCGAGAGCAAGTCTGTAACATCTTAAAAATGATGGTCATAGCTATGAAGTACCAATTATAGTTGAAGCTATTTGTTTAATGCATGTACTTCGATGTGTCATTGCTTTCTAAGGGCATCTCTAATCGAGATATTTGCCAAGTGAACGGTAATAGAAAGTTGACAGCAAATGACATTTCCAACTGATGTGTGTAAATCCCACCTGGAATAAAGGCTAGAGTGGTTGACGGCAAATTTGACAACGCCAAACTCATATATATATATATATATATATATATATATCAATAGTAGTTCCTACTTAAACGCAACTTTCTAAATTTCACTACATCAGCCATCAAATTGAAATATGACATATTGTATTTGAGGTCTCTCTTGTTCTGCTCTAGGATTATAAATTTTCAAGGATCCTTCAATTTCTAAACAAAATATCAAGGAGAAAACGAAGAAAAAAGAAAAGAAAAGGCAAGGGTGATTGTTGTCATCTACTTTGGAATTGACAAGTTTTTCTTCCACCTAGACCATACTTGACTGGGTTGACGGCGTTACTTCGCACGAGTCCACAAGAGAAGGACAATACTAACGTTTTGCCGTCAAATCTGACAGAAACCAGACAGCTCGAATTAGAAAATGGCGGGACGCCTTAAAACCGAAACGAACTGTTTTTCAAAAACTATTTCCCAAACGCAAAGATGTTCCAAAATTAGTGTGCGTCTTCAATTTCTCGCCTTCTAGAATTCTGCTCCTCTCTCTCTCTCTCTCTCTCTTTCTCTCTCTCTCTATCCATGGGGTATTGAAAACTTAATTGACCAAATTACCCCCCACCTCATTCCCATGGGAAGCTGCGTATGCACACCTGCGAAGGCAGGCGTCTACCACAAACGAAGCAAAGATATCATCAAACCCTTGCCTCAATGCATACACGACTCGCCACGCAAGTCTTCGGTGGCGGCTCCGGCCGCTGTCCACCACCACCGCAGCATCATCTGGGTGCTGGACAAGACCGCAGGGAACAACATCTTTGACAAGTACGAGTTTGGCAAGGAATTGGGGCGAGGGGAGTTTGGAATTACCTACAGATGCACCCACCGGGAGACGGGGGAGTTGCTTGCGTGCAAGAAGATAGCGAAGAGCAAGCTGAAGACGGAGATTGACGTCGAGGATGTGAGGAGGGAGGCTGAGATCATGCGCCGTTTGCCCAAGCATCCGAATATTGTCAGCTTCAAAGAGGCTTATGAGGACAAAGAGGCAGTTTATCTCGTCATGGAGCTTTGTGAGGGCGGCGAGCTCTTCGATAGGATTGTGGCGAAGGGGCATTACACAGAGCGCGCTGCTGCCACTGTCACCAGAACAATTCTTGAGATTTGCAAGGTAAACTTTTCATTTTTTAGTTTAGTAATTTAAATAACACACACATATATATATATATATATATATTGCCACTTGAAAAATGATGATTTTGTGTCAAATTTTTGCAGGTATGCCACCAGAATGGAGTGATACATCGGGACCTGAAACCGGAGAATTTCCTGTTTACAGATAGCAGTGAAAATGCTCAGTTAAAGGCAATTGATTTTGGCCTTTCTATATTTTTTGAGAAAGGTATCTTTTAAAACATGACTTCTGCTCCTTCCTGTGTTTTTTTTTTTTTTTTGGTTCTGTTTCATTGCTTTCTAGGTTTTCATGTGACTGATGCACAATCTTGCCAATTTAGGTCAGAGATTCAGTGAAATTGTTGGAAGTCCATATTACATGGCTCCGGAGGTCTTGCGGCGCAATTACGGGCCTGAAGTTGATGTTTGGAGTGCAGGGGTTATCCTTTATATCCTACTTTGTGGAGTTCCACCATTTTGGGCAGGTAACTCTATATTCAATTTTTGATGTGGTTCAATTTACATTTGATTCTGATATATCTGTTTAATTTCAATGCATATGACATGCGCACAAAATGGGTGTGATATAATTTTCCAGAGTGTCTTCTAATGTTGTATTTATACCTTGTCCAGAATCTGAGGAAGGAATTGCACAGGCAATCGTTCGGGGTAGCATAGATTTCGAGAGGGAGGCATGGAAAAAGGTTTCTGACGAAGCAAAAGAACTAGTGAAGAGAATGCTTGATCCAAATCCTTTCAACAGGCTTGGAGTTGAAGAAGTCCTTGGTATGTGAATTTTTACATATGCTTGTGGAAATCTCAGAAATAAGGAGGTTGTGAAACTACTTACCACTTGTGCAAAATAGAGAATTGACTAGCCATCCCCATTTGACATACTTGAGCCAGTAGATCTATTTATGTAAATAGGACTTAATTAGGTAATAAAAGATAAACAATAATTATAGAGCATTTTTGCAATTTGTTTTGCTCAAGTATGGAACACTTTTTTTCTCT